TATGACAAATGACTAAATTTAAATGGAGAAATAAATAATTAATCTAATAAATTATTTACTAATCTAATTTGCTATAACTAAACTAAATTCTGCCGAAATTTCGGTAACATCTTCCCTAAAAATTGGATGGAATATCCATATATTCAAAGAATCACAACTTTATATATACATAATTATCATTCATCACACAGAAATTATCCATCAGGCGATCAAGCAATTAAATTTTCCCTTTCTCTCTCCGAATAATAATATCAATATTATATTCAAAGCTTAACGTCACCGCACATAATCTAAAATTAAAATAACATTCTAGTCTACCTTAAATCCACATTTTCATTCCATTAATATCATTGTCGAATTTCCCCAATTGAATTTATTTGGTGCTCAGTTAAATTGGCTTTAATTAATTAAGGTCCTCTAATCAAATCAACACTTCAAAATATATTGGATAATACCCATAATTAAATTAAATTAACTAGCTACAAATACTAGAAATCAATTAATTTTTCTGAAAATAACTAGAATTAATTTCAATACCCAACCACAACACCGCCCGAATTTTGCTTGGCCGGAGACAGCGGCGACGTTCTCCGGAACGAGGGGAGTGAGGACAGTTGCTGAGGTTGACCGAAGTAGGAGCCGCTGCTCGCCTAAGCGGCTGTGCTCACCGGAGTCGGGAGCGGAAGGCGCGACGTCAAGCGGCGGCCGGTGGCGCGATCGGGCTGAGGGAGAAATAAGGTGACTGGCGGCGCGACAACAGGAAGCCATGGTGGCGGCGCGAAGGCGTGGGTGGCGCGACGAAGGCTCGTTGAGCCCATTTCTGGTGGCCGTAGTTGCGACTGCTGTGGTCTGGGTGAGGTCGCGGCTCCACCGTGGCCCTTGTAGTCGCCAGAAACGGAACAAAGAGGGAGGGAGAGGGAACTTGAGCGACGCTGGGTGACGGAGGCGACGTCGGCAGGGCGATGGCGAGGGTGGCGCAGGCGAGTCGCCGGTAACCAGATAAAAAACGAGGAGACAGAGGGTTTAAGCTGAAAATAGAGGGAAGGGGTTTCTAGAAGGTTTTTGGGTGGGTTTGGGCTGATTTGGTTTGGTTCGGTTCAAATCATGATTTTTGTATGGTTTTCAATTTCTAATCGGTTTTTATCCGAGTTTTCAATTAATGCGGGTTTGATTCCACTATTTAAATTATATATATGCGTTTAACTAGTTAAATAAATTCATATGATGTTAATTTATCAAAAATTTTAAATGAAAAATTTTGAAAATAAAATGTGGATTGTTTTAGAGGATCATGTTATAATGTACGTCAGCGATGAGATAGAGCGGTTCACAGTGAGTACGAAGCTACTAAACTGCTCAATCTTCATTGACCTTTCTAAATTGGACCGTGTATTCGCTCCTTTTAATTTCTTTTTCTTTATTGTTTAGATACTTGAAATATGTATAGGACATCAAGAGATTCTTTTAGTTTTTGCTGTAAATATATTTTTTGTGTTCGGCTTAGGTAGATCACAGTCACGTTTGGATGTTAAAGTGTTTTTATTTTTTAGGGCTGTTTTTTTTTTCTCTCTATAAAATCAAGGTGTGAAGCTTTTAATTAATTATATATATTCTCTTAAACCCTAATTTGTGTTGAATTTTACTCAAGCAATTCTTGATCTATCTATTCGTTTGCACAGAGATGGAGGAAGAAAATAGCATATTTGGACCATGGAGGTAGAAAGAAAATTCTCAGCCACTTCAAACGCTGAGTTTTACTATAGCTAACTATGTTGGATTAGCCAACTCATGTGTACCCATATTTACTATTTTTAAATCTCAATTTTGACTAATTTTGCGGTTAGGGTGCGATTATGACATAAATTTGAAATTTGAGTGTCTGAGTTAAATTCATTTTAGGGTGTCATTATAACAACTCGTATAGTTTGAAGTATTGAAAATGGTTTAGCCTACACAGTATAAAAAAAAAGTAAAAAAAGACAATGTGGGTAAAGGGTGAAAGAAACAAAGGGTAAAATCATTTTTGATTTATTACAAGGAAAATGATAATTATAGTGTTTAAAACTTTCTATTTTTTTTTTAAATTTTAGTGTATTACCGGAAAATATTTACAATCGAGAATATAAAACCTATAAAAATTTGTAATTAAATGACTGTGATTGATTTGCCAGCTGGAAATTTGATTCAGCTAATGTGGGACTCATTTTTTATGTGTTGAGAGCTTAGGTGGATATTTTTAACCAATGAACCAACATTTCTCCCCTTATTATTATTATTATATTTTAAATTACACTTTAAATAAATTGCAATATGACTAAATCATCAGATTATAAACACAGATCGAATTTAAGTCCTCATAATAAAATAAAAATGTGAAAAAAAAGGCAAGAGGAACCGTTGGTATATATATATTGGTTAATGATGTGAAGTTATTTCACCATCTTCGTTGTATCAATTCGAAATGTCCATAAACTGCTCAGCCCAATTCAAACCGAGCCAAAATCATCATTCTAAAAAAGTAATGAAATCAAACTATTGGTTCGATTTATAATTTTTTGAGCAAAAATTAAATAATTAATAATTCAATTCGATTTTTAAAGAAAAGTTCCTCACTTTGATGCTATATATTTGATCAATTAAATCACAGTTTCATATTAATTAAACAAATGATATAATTATTATATGAAAAATCCAAATATTGAAAGTTGTTTATAGAAATTTCAATTCTCATTTGGAGTTAAGCTAGTCTTTGATAAATTTTCAAATAACTATCAAAAACCCATCAAAACCATCCAAACTGCATTCATAAGAATCAAATAATCCTTATGCAGAGTATCAAAAATAAATCAAATTTTCTTGAGCATTTATAAGCTACTGCGTTGCCAAGTATTTTCTACCGATGAAATTTACCTAAGATAACCATTTAAAAAGGCTCTTGAAGTTTTACCACCAAGAGTAACACTGGGTTGAAATTTGATATCCAACAATGTGAATACTTAAGAGTTCATAGAGCTTGCAATATGTTGTTATATGAAGGCCAGGAAAACATTCTTCGGGCCACCCATATAGACATTTCAGGTTCATGATCTGTAAGATTACAAAAATATTAGCTCCTCCTAGAAATTTCCAAAACTTCAGTTTTTCCAAAATATGTTGTCAACAGAAGCAGGAGAAACTGTACTGTAATTCAAGTTTGATAAAACTCCAAGATGATAGCAGGTTATGATACTAATCAATTGAGGTACATATCTTCACCTTCATCATTATTACAGTCATCTTCACCATCATCCAAATCGATATTCTGCGAGGTTGAAAAAAATATTTAAATTAAAACCTCATCTTGAAATAAATAAATTCCAAAATTCAATAATGAGTATTGAAAAATTTATAAAAAGCTGCTTGGCAGGCTTGGGGAGGAAGCTAAATCAAAGAAATCATACCAGGTTTATGAGCAAACGTGATTATAATCATCATAACTAAAATCTTCCTCAGATTCTTCTACTTCGTCATCCACGCATTTTTTCTTTCCTTACTCACCTTTCTCTTTCCGAGATAGCTTTATCGGGTCAAGGCGAGCTCACGAGCTAGCTCAATAAACCAAAATAATTAAACCTTTGTTAAAATAAAACTGGTTTGGTTTGATAGATTTCAAATTCGAGCTCATGCTAAGCTCATTTATGGTTATCAAGCCGAGCTCAGATTTCCAAACTCAAATATATCCTTATTAAGTGGAGCTCAAGCTCGCTAAAGCTCGGCTCGTTTACGGCATTAAAACTTAGAGACTAAAAAGTACTTTTTCCTTATTTATATAATATATTAAAATAAAAATAATGTATTCACTTTTAAAATAAAAAATTATAAGCATTATACATCATAATGTATGATAAAAAAAAACAATTATATTCTTAATGACCATTTACATTTTAACAACAACCATTATCAAAATTTTATCAACGGCAACATGCATCAACTAATCGTTACTAGCTATCAACTATTAGCAACTAGCCAACCACTGTCAACTATTTGCTGGAATGAGTAACTAAATCAAATGTGCCCTAAATTTATTACATTAATAAAAAAAACTCGTTATTTCCTTTTTTTTTTTAAATACGTCATTCCTAAAAAAAAGTAACCCCAATAATAAATTTATTATATTCTTTATTATTCAATTCAACTATATACTCGCGATCTCTTTCACTTCACAACATAATGTGATTTTTTTTTTTTACTCTCCATTTGCTTATAATAATTTAGTCAATTTTTTTCTAAATTTTAATTACCTTTTGATTACTATCTATACGTGTATTACATTTATTAAATTTACCATAAAAATCTTAATTTCTTTTTTATGTTTAACCTTTTTTTAGTAGGTAGTGATAAGAATTAATAGTTTGAGCAAACCACACTTAATGGTTAATGTTTAAGGAAATTTTTACTTTTTTTTCTATTCATATAATTTTATAGTTTGAATAAAATAAATTGATTCAATTTGCGAAGAATAATATTTTATACTTATTATTTTAATTAGTTAATTTATTAAATAAATGACACACATTATTTCTTTCATCATATCAATTTATTTATATTTTTTAATCAAGCTTAATTTGTATAAAACATTTATATTTTTTTAGTTTTCTTTATTCATTTTTATTATCTTTTATGAATCTTTTCAATTTATAAAAGAATAATTATGTTAATATGCAAAATATGCAGTTTTTTATCGACAAAATATAATAAATAACTAATAATATAAAATTTAAAATAATTTTTTTTGACATGAAAATTTAAAATAATTTAAAATATAGGATAATGCAACTCTTTTATAGTAATTATATTTATACGTATTAACCCGTATAATTTGCGCATACAACTAGTTATATTAAAATTGGTAAAATAATTAATGGGTTATCAAAAAAATTAAAGGATTTTCATGTCCAGCTGTCAGTCGATGAGAGTTAGTGTACACATATATACTCACTACATATAGAACGAACCGCAATTAATAGGTAAAGTTGGAGAATTTTTCTTAGCTCTCTATTTTTCGAGCCCTATCACTTCTCTCCCTCGCTCCCCCCCTCCCTCCTTATCCGAAAAACCCTTATCTAGGGTTAGGGTTTTTGCTTCTTCTGTTCATAGTGTCTATTTTATTTAGGGTTTTCGTCGTTTCTAGGGTTAGTGATATATTCTTTGATTTCGTATTCGTGTTTGGGTTTCAGTTCTTGTCAAACGTTTCCTTCCGTGGATCTGGATCTGTGGTACTAATAGTAAATCGGTCATGGATATAAGAAAAAGAGGTAGGCCTGAAGCTGGCTTCAACGCTGGTGGCGGATTTAAGAAGTATAAGCAAGGTCAGTTGTTTTTCTTTCCTGGATTTACTGAATTATCGTTTTCGTTTATTCCTTTCTCCAAGTTTTGGGTAACCTGTTTTTGGTTTTTGTGTGCTAGGTTATTATCAGGTTACTATGTTATTAGATGTAGGCTTGAAAATGTTGTTATAGACTTTTGTAAACTGTATTAAGGCTAAAGTTAAATACTTTGTTTTCATTACTCAAATCTACAAGTTTTGTATCGATGGAGTGAAAAAAATCTGTATAATTATTGCATTTATTTGTCACCGTCGCACATGTAACATCGAAATTTATCTCTGGAAATTATTTCTTATTTCTTATTTCTTATGGAGACAGCTTAAAGAAAGTGAATTGTTTTCCTTTATTTGGGCATAACTCTTATGCATTTGGAGGAAACTAATTTTTTTCAAGGAAAAACTATTTTGCAGCTCTTAAATTATGTGGTCAATGATATCATTGCTGATTTGAACATCAATTTTTCACCAAATTTGGTAAAACCAGCAAAATTGGATCCATTCTGCCTAATTAAAAAGTCGATGGAATCAGTGGCAAACTATTTCACTTAGAATTCAGAAGCAAAAAATTGTTAAGTTCATGGGTGAAATTATGTTTATTCTAATTTTTGTATGTGCGCGCGCAATTGTGTAACATTTGCATGAGTTTGGAAGACTACCCCCTTGAAAAAATGCCTAATATTGCTATTAACCAGAAATAGAGTTTTCTAGTGGCTGATTTTTCATGTGTGCTCTGACCCCCTAGGAAATGCAGATAATAGTTCTCCATTAGAACAAACGAATATACCCTTTATCTGACTAATATGTGCTATCTTTATTGAGTTGATATATTATGCAGTTCTCCTTTATCTATACTTTTTTAGACTTGGTAGCAAGCTCTGAGCATGTCTTTATCCGGTTCTTATAATTAGTGGGATATTTTGGCGTGCAGATCTTTTTATGGTAACTATTCTTTTGTTTTACTTGCCTGCATGATCCTATCCCCCACCCCCTTTCTCTCTCTTGATTGTGGGTGTTGGGAGGTGTGGTTGGTATGGGGAAATCAGAAACCACCTTTATAGTGTTGTCTGAATCATTTTTTTTTTTTTTTTTTTTTTATAATTAGTGGGATATTTTGGCGGTGCAGATCTTTCTATGGGTAAACCTATTCTTTTGTTATTTACTATGCCTGCATGATCCTATCCCCCACCGCCCTTTCTCATACTCTTGATTGTGGGGTGTTGGGAGGTTGGTTGGAAGGGGAAATCAAGAAAACCACCTTTAATAGTGTTGTCTGAATCATTTTTTTTTTTTTTTTTTTTTTTTTTTTTTTTTTTTTTTTTTAAGTTTTTGGAACATTGTTCTATTGTTTAGATTTGGGATTGCTCGTAAGAAAGTTGGTAGAATCAAATTTTTGAGGAAAATATTTGTGGATGCTTGTAGGAATGAATTAGACCTTAGAATAATTGTCAATATACATCAATCTATCGAAAAATATAGCCTCTTTTAGATTAGTGAAACTTCATATATGAAATTTTTGTTTGTTATTTATACATAACATTACTGGAATTAAAATTTTAATTACATGGGGATATTCTGGAGTCAGATAGATTAAAAACCTGGAGAAATTTTAACTAAGAACAAGTAATTAATGTCTTGTAACAGAAATGGACTCGTTATCAACTGGTGTAGGAAGCAAATCGAAGCCATGCACTAAATTTTTCAGGTTTAAATCTTTTCTCACCTAAATAAGTATTTTAAGTTGCATTTTTTAATTTTGAAAAGTTATTGTAAGAATTAATTTACTATTTTCACAAGATAAGATTCTGTGCTGCTCTAATGAAGTGGGTATTTATAGCTGTTATACAGGTGCTTTTTCATAATTGTGCTTTGGTCAAATCAAGTTAACTAAGGGAATTAACAGATACATGATTTACATCGAGTGCAAAATGATAATCACTTGCCTGAAGATGGGTTACATTTTATTAATATGTTTATATGCTTATCATGGCAAACACTAATCTGTTGAAGATAATATTGAATGGTAAATTTTTCCAGTGTTAAGTATTTTGGTACAGCTATTGAACACAACTTTCTATTGGTAAGTCATAATAAAGAACCTGTCAAAGTAAGATGAATTGCACTGGACTGTTTCTGCTATTGAATTCAATCATCTAGCAGTAAGTTTATTCATAAACAAGGTAATTTGTGAAAGGTTGATGAATTGCATTCAGGTATGATGATAATAATTTTATATTTGTGTTAACATAACAGAATTGTGACCTCGTAGGATATATTATTATTATTATTATCATCATCATCGCATCATTCATACTATGGCACTCAGTGCCATGTGAATCTCAAATTTATGATGAAGACCTCCAGTTTGTAATGCTATAATTCTAATAGACCAGGATGTAAATGAGAGTTCACTTAATGTTGGCTTCAGCTCTTTTTCTCAAGTTGTCCTAATTGAATGTGGAGTCACTATTTAATTGTTTGAGGACGTTGTCCTTTCTGCTTTGGTACCATATCTTCCTATATTTCAACTTAAAAGAAATAAATGCTTTTGGTGGTTTTTCTTCTAGTTTGATTCATATCAAAGTCATTGCTTGGAAGCATTTGAATTTGTTTATTATCGAGTCAATGATAGTGATGGTTTAGGTCTTGTCTTTCTTTAGCATCATAAAGTTCTATGTGGTGATTGACTTGTGGAACTGATTGGGCCGGTTATCCTTTGGATTGCAGTACTGCTGGCTGTCCATTTGGTGAGAGCTGTCATTTTTTGCACTATGTTCCTGGCGGCTATAATGCTGTGGCCCAGATGATGAATCTGGCTCCAGCTGTCACTCCAGTTTCTAGAAACATTGCAGCCCCACCAGCAGTCTCTAATGGTTCTACACAGCCTTTGGTTAAGAGCCGCTTGTGCAACAAATATAATAGTGCTGAAGGTTGCAAGTTTGGTGACAAATGCCGTTTTGCACATGGTGAGTGGGAACTTGGCAAGGCTGTTGCTCCATCCCACGATGATCCTCGCACGATTGGAACCATTCCAGGTCGCATGGGTGGTCGAATGGAACCAACCCCACCTGGCCCTGCTGCTAACTTTGGTGCCTCAGCCACAGCAAAAATTGCTGTAGAAGCTTCCCTTGCTGGAGCCATCATTGGTAAGGGTGGTGTGAATTCTAAGCAGATCTGCCGCCAGACAGGTGCCAAATTATCCATCCGCGAACATGAGACAGATCCTAATCTCAGAAATATTGAATTTGAGGGATCATTTGAACAGATTAGGCAAGCTAGTTCCATGATTTCAGAGCTAATCGCCAGTGTTAGTTTGGCCAATTCCTCTGCAAAATCCATGGGGGCACCTGGGGGCCACGCTCATCCAGGAAGTAACTTCAAAACAAAGTTATGTGAAAATTTTACCAAAGGGTCTTGCACCTTTGGTCAGAAATGCCACTTTGCCCATGGAGCTGCAGAATTACGCAAGTCAGGTGTGTGATAGGATCCCCCATTTTTCGTAGTTAGTTCATTGCACAAGCAGTTGTGCAATCTTGTATTAGTTAGAGATCTGTTTATTAAGTGTTGCCTGTGCAATGCTCTGCTAAGTGACATTGTTGAAACTATGATGAGTTTTTGGCTTATTTATCTACCTTTTAGAACTGCAGTAGCTTTAGCCAGCCTTTTTCTCCCTCTGAGTTCTTATATATTATGTATTGTGTTTGTGAATTTTGGTTATATTGAACGTAGTTTGTGCCCCAGTATGACATTTTGCAATGTGCAACAATACCCTGCATTTAGAACATTTTTTATTTTTTTATTTTTTTTTATTTTTTTTAATGCTTCACATTGTAAATTTTGAAGGTAATTTGGAAGATAATTTAAGTTTGGTCGTGTGTTTGCATGGTATCATAGTGCTCACATGCTTACCTTGAATAGTGTATTAGGGTGGGTGGGTGGGTGGGTGGGATAGGTATTATGAGTAGTAGAATATGACATTTCTGGAAAAAATATGAACAAGCTATTATCAAAATTAATTGTAAGCCATATATATAATAGTTAATGATCAAGAATTACTGTAATGAAGCAATTCCTTTAATCTTGAACTAAGCCTTTTATGAGCAACAACCAAATTGTCTTCATTAGAGCCCCAATTTAATACCAACTTCTGTGTGGCTATTGTTTTCCAAGACGATGAACAAGAGGTTCATTTTCATGCTTATTTCCTTCGAAAATTGAAGAATTAAGGTCACTCGATCATCCGAAAATTTTAAAATCGATTCACACGTGTTTGTGGGCATCCTTTGAGGAATTGAAATGATACCCACCAAAATCCAATCACCGAATATTTGAAAACCCGAGATTCCGTTTTGTTTTCAATTTTTCAATTAACTCATGTTTTCTTATCGTTTGATTATAATATGAAAATTAAAAATATTAAAATTTCAATTTAAAGTTATGGAAATTTTTATATTTTCAAGAAATAAATTATGACGCAAATTTTAATTTTTATATTTTTGATATTTAAAAGGGATATTTCTAATAATACACTTGAAATGTATATTACGTTGAGTGTCCGTTATTTTTTGGGGCGGAAAAAATATTATGTTATGTTGTGCGAGTTTCTGTAGAACAACCAGAAAGACTCGGATTTAGTCCTTTCATATCACAATTTTTCCCTTAAAATTTATAGTACTCCGAATGCGTTGTTTATTTTAAAATTCGTTGTTGACTGTCACTGTTTGTGACCAATTCTTCTGCAGATTCAATTTTGACTCGAAGCAAGTCATAAAAATGGCCATGTCTGTGACATGAGAAAAATCTTAGAAAAATTTATAAATAAAATATCTACTAAAAGATACCTTTTATTCAACTGGAATTGCTTAACAAGAAAAAGACACCAAACAGAAAACATAGATATATTACATAACAGGAGCTAAAGCACATGCCATGCCCTACACACGTGGGTTATGGCCAGTGGTGTCTCCGGGCAACCCAGATGGGCGAGTCCTGGTCAAACCCGTTGGGTCCACCTCTCCACCGTATGGCTGCCCTGTGCCGTGTCCAGGCATGGCCGACATTTGCTGGGTCCCTGTAGGGTAACCGGTTGTCCCAGTTGTTGAATGGGTATAGGTTTCGGTTGTGCCTTGAGCGCCCGGACCAGCAGTTGTGTACTGTACATGGCCACCAGCCTTGGCTGCCTGCCTCGCCGCTGCGTTATCCTCGCGCGCTTCTAGTTTCCGCAATTCTGCCTCCGTTTTCCTCTCTTCTTTCTTCTCTCTCGCCATTTCCTTCTGCACTGGATCACGTGTTGACATTCTCTCCACCTACACCATTCACAAAATATGATTACTTACCTAAAAAAAGATGTAAAAAAAGAACAAACATGTGAAGAGGATCAACCTTCTCTTGCGCCTCTGCTCTGGTTTTTTCCATGCCAGCCTTAGCAGAGGCTCCAACGTTAGCTGCGGTTTCCTTCAGCGACTCCATTTTCACTCACTTGGCTATTCAAATTCAATCACTCACTTGGCTATTCAATTACGCATTGTCTTCGTCGTTCCAGAGCTCATGTATTATATAGATATAGTTTAGACACTGAAGAGCTCCTGCAGTGTCGACACGTATAAGCAAAAAATGAAACGTGGAGTCCAATTAATGACTCTACTTCTTTCGTATACCACGTGGAATGCAGATAGCTTTAGACATGTTCTTTTTTGGGGCGGTTAGGTATACGTGGCGAGTTCTCTAAGATGTGTTGCGACACGAAGCCGCCATGTTGCTCCATCGGTCTTGCTATTCGGGCAGTTGGACCTGCAAATTTCGGCCTATGAAAAACTTTGAAGATGAAGGTTTATCCATCTTATCCATTTCAATTAAACAACTGCATTTTAATAAATATATATTTTTTAATTTATAAGATTTATGTTATTCTCGTAATTTATCAGAATCAGGTCTCCTCGTTTATGCAAAGATCGTAGCTCTCCAGTCATATTAAAATTGTAATTTATCAAAAATATCATCTGATTGTTCTTTCCATTTAGATAAAGAGTATAGTTTTGGAGTACATATATTTTCACAAATTTAGTGAGTGGAAGAAAAAATTATCTGATCTTTCAAACCGTAACAAAAAAAAAAGTCATAATTTTTATTATTAAAGATTTGTGTTTTATATCAATCTTATTTCCATGAAGAGCGTTTGTATTGCATTTACATAGGAAATTCTGTATATCACATGACAAACATGATAATACATACATGCCAACACATTGTAGGAAACAAATCACATGAGTGGAAAGAGCAACTCCTATAAGTAACTGTTATCCATATATACAAACATCATATTCATGAGACAGGCCTAGGTTTGGGCCATTAGTAACTTGGACTAGAATAGCGATAGCCATAGCCAGAGCCAGATGCATGGCCTTAGCGGGAATGTTTTTCATCCATGCTACGAGCCATCTCAACTGTCTCACGAAGAGATTTAGGTTTAGAAATTCTATTATCATTTTCTAATTCCTCTTTAAGTCCACTTATAAACTTCCTAATCAACTCCTTTTCAGACTAATCCACGGCCCGATTACTTAACCTTTCAAATTCTTTTCTATAGTCTTTTAAACTACCGGTTAGCTTCACTTTTAACAGTGTTTCCTCAAATTCTTGATATTCAACTTCTGCAAACCTAGAAATTAACTCTTGTTTGAAAACCTCCCATGTACGTTCTTTGCAGCCATGGAAGCCATTGGCTCGCTTCCCCTTCTAAATGAAATGAAGCTAAACCCACCTTTTGTTTTTCAAGAATTCCATGGAAATTAAAAAACTGAGAAACTATATTAAGCCACTCTAATGGCGGTCCAGTGCCTGTGAAATGAGGGAAATCTAACTGTAATTGGGATTTGGTGTTCTTTTCTACTTGTAACGTAGAGATCTTGTCTTCTAGTTTTTTCAGAGTAATATCAAGTTTTTCTACGGCTTGTGATAACAAGTACCGTTTAGTTTCCTGGTTTTTGTAATTCTTTTAACTTTGTCTAGTTTTCTTTGGAAAGCTATTCTTTGGTTTTGAAAACCAAAAAGAAGAAATAAAAGTAGAGAAATGATTGATACAAGTAAAAGAAAGGAGTCTAATGGGAGTTGAAATGACGACGGACAACATGCCGGTCTACTACTAAATGGTCTTTCTCTTTCAGTCTCCGATTCTCCTTCCATTCCATAACTTGATCCACCCCAAGAACAACAAGGACTCATTGGTTGCTTTGCTCTGGTCTGATCAAGGTCTGAGCTTTAATGACAGTTGGCTACGCTTCACGTGATTTGGCATCGGACAGGTGTTTATTGGGTACTAAATATTACGACACGTAATGATTTATTCCAGCTGGTATTTGACACGTATAAGAGGTGGTCTTCATCCTCTTGTTATGTTTATAATAATTTTATAAATGAATATTTACTATTATACTCGTTATCATCGAGCAATACTGTGAATCAACAAGTCATCATTCATCACTTGCCAATACAATAACCACCACTTGTCATCAGAAGAACTCAGAAGCTAGCACCAGTTATCATATTTAATAACAAAATTTTAAAATAATAAATTTTAATATGTTTTTATAGTCTTATAATTAAAACATTTTAATTTTTTTATATAATAAAAAAAATTAATTGAAAATACCGAAGCAAAATATTTGCGTTATTCAAAATATTTTTTAAATTATTATCTAATTAATTGTGTTGTACTTTCTCAAAATCAAACTTTAATTCAGTTGCCTTTTATTTTATTTAAACACCAATCTTAACTTTGGGTTGCTATTAAAGATTTTCACAATAGAAATCACATCATTTTCTATTTTTCTGTCCAACATTACAAATATAATAGATCTTATTACGTTTTAAAAATATTAAAAGACCATCTATAAAATTACTGAAAATCAGAAATAATTTTTTCTGAAAAAAAAGTATTAAAGTTTTCGTTTCTCTTGATTTTCAGTTAATAATATTATTAATTTTACTTTAAACAAAAACTATTTAAATAATTTAATATCACACATTGAGTATAAGTAAATTCCGTATATTTCGTACTGTTTATGATGATAATGAAAATATTAATGTACACGTCATTTGTACATATTTTTAGATTGGCTTGTGATGTAGGTCAATGGTGCCCTGCACGAAACGTAAAAACCAGCCATAAAAACACGGTATATTTGAACCGACAGACATCAATTCCATCCCATGTGAATCGTGATATACCAAAGATTCCTAACAACCACTTGATATTTATAATGGCTGAATTTAAATTATGTTTGTATTTTTTACGGAAATTTTTTATGGCGTCTTCAATTTCTATTTTGACTTAATATTTTAATTTGTAAAATTATATATATTAAATTTTTTAATTGACAGATTAAATATTTAAATTTATAAAGTTAGATCGATTTAACGATTATTTAATAATTTAAAATGTAAGAATTATTCTTTTTAAAACTGTATAACCACATATTAAGTCAATATTTTCAAATAAAAAGTCAAAACAAAAATTTAAAAAATTTGTTGTTATAATCGAATTGGATCGGATTTGCCAATTTAAATACTCAACTTGTATATGCGGATCAATGATTTTTTATCCAACTCAACCTATCAACTGAATGAGCTCGCGAGTCAAAATTAAAATATAATTATTTAAAAGGAATAACCAACAAAATTAGTTATACTTAAAATATAATTATAGAATAATTTTTACAAACCGCAAGACATTCCAATAATATCATTTTAAAATAGTTTTTGATAATAATAACAACAATAGTAATAATAAGCAAGAATATTTGAAAATTAAATTTTCTAATAAGAAATATAACTAATAAAATTTAAAAATTAGTAACATAATTATAGAAGTTTTAAACTACAATATGTTCCATTAACAATATTTCAAAATAAATTTATATAAAAATAATAATTTTAAAGGTAAGTAGTACTAAATATTTAAATATTTTTATTTAAAATTAAATTGAATTAACTAAAATAATTTATAATTATACTCATATACACACACATATGATAATTTTACATGCAGAGGCGAGTCTGCGGATTTACCTAGTGAATCCATGACCAATCCAATGCGTGAATTATAAAAATGACTTGTCCAATTCAATCATTATATTTTTAAACCCACCGGGTTGGATTAGGTTAGTATGGATTATGTACAACTCTAGTTATTATTAATATAAATGAGTGTGAATTATTATACAAAATTAATTTTAGTAGTTAATCATATTTATACATAATCAAATTGATATAACCGGAGACATAAATATTACATATTATTACACATGCATATAGGACTTGGTTATACCTAGTTTATGTTGTCCCGTACACCAATCAAGCCAACATATAATATTTATGAAAAAGGCTAACATCACAAAAATACACATCCATTCCTTATCAAAAATTAATGATCCTAGAAAATCACTATAAGAAACATACAACTAACTGTGGTGGATTTCAAGATAGCATTTAATTCGGTTGACTTATATATAACAATTAATTTGTAGATGTTTGGTAATTTTTTTTTTTTTTTAAAGAAAAATCAAACTAGAATTTCATTAATTGGAAATTGTATACAAATTATAATATTTTTGTCATAGGGGATCGCTGGCTCCACTTTGTGACTATTTATGATCACTGTTCGACTTCATAGTTTTTCTATAAACCTGATCTGATTATCTTTAAATTTCTTCCTTCTATTGGAGATGATATTTGCACTTTTTTCTGCATAACTATTCATATAATAAAAGACGCTGGACAAAATTACTATAATAGTGACAAAAAATAACTCATAACTAGATATGAGACAAAATCTCAATATATGAGTGACAATAAATTTCAATATATGTGCGACAATAATTCAGAGAATTATTCGCAAAAAAACCAAATAAAAAAAGAAAAGGGGCAACCACCGGTAAGAGCTCACCGGTGGCCGCCCATAAAAAAAGAGAAGAGAGGTTTTAAGTTGTCAAAGAAAATCACTGCTAAATATTTAAAAGTTGGTAACCCTTTTTTAATTAATGATGTTTGGTAAGCTGTGACCGATAACACTGATAGAAGTTGATGATTATTAATTATTTTTATTTTGAGCTATTTAAAAGTTTGAGTTATTTGGTTGAGAGTTGCAATCCATTTAATGCATGTTCATGTCAACTTGAAATAATGGACTACATATTCATCCACTTATACCTACTAATAAAATAAAATTTTCACGATAAAATTTAATTTTTAAATAGCATTGTTTGTCTGTCACTATTTTAACAAAGAACTAAGCAGATTAGATAGATTTTTCACATTAATATTATTTTCAAAATTGCCAAATTAGAAAAAACTTTTTATATAAAAAGAGCATTTAAAATATAAAATTTTCTTATATAAAAAAAATGAGAGAGTATCATACGATGAATTTTTTAAAGTTTTTTTATAATGAAAACATAATTCGATACTGGTAATTAATTATTTAACATATATGTATTTTTTTATTTATTATAAATAAATAAATTACATATATGTGATAAATAAATTAACATGTACCAAAATTTTGATGATGATCAAAATAA